AAACGCTCAGCCCATAGCTCAAGCTTGTTACTAGCCAACTCTCACACTTAAATTAACCCATATTTCTTATCTATGCTTTACCACACGACTCATGGTTTGTTGTCTCATTTTCTATACATCCTGCTTCCTCGGCAGCTGGCTGGCATCCCTCTGACTCTGCCCTTCTTCCTCCCAAAGTCCTCTGTGTCTGGCTGTCCTGCCTGTACTTCCTGCCTGGCTACCCGCCTGTCAGCTTTTTATTAACCAATGAGTGCAATACATATTCACAGTGTACAGAAGGATTATTCCACAGCAATGGGTCAATCCGGTTTTCACTCCTGGTGCTGGGTCTCGGTCCAGCCTTGGCCATGCTGGCTAGGCTCATGGTGAGGAAAGGATGTTGCCAAGGCAAACCTTAAGTATGCAAGCCTGAAGCTGGGAGCCATGTCAGCTCACACAGGCACCTGTGGTGGGCACCTTGCTTGGGTCTTTCCCCTTCATCAACGGTTGATCAAGCCACTAGTAGGCTAACTCGTCAGTTCTGAGGTGTTGCATACTGACACTGTCAATATTCGAAGCTGCACACCTATAGTTGCAGAACTCACCCATCTCTGAGACCGGATGTGTGTCTCAGTGGCAGAATACTTGCTTACTGTGCACAAGTCCTGGACTCAATCTCCAGCATTGCTAACAAACAGAAAGGCAGACGAACAAACAAATGAATACACGGAATAAACACTCGAGGACCTTTAAGAGTAAGCCCCTGGGAATGTGCAGTGGGAGCAGAAAACAAACGTGTGAATGATGCTCCTCGTGCAAATGTGCAAAAGGCCCCTTCACTTTTCTTTGTCTGAGAGTAGAGAAACCTCTGCACAAGGACAGCACAGCATCCTGGACTGCTTGCCTGCAGATGGTGTTCCCGGGGGGAAACACAAGAGCTGGGACCCTGGAGTGAGGGGAGAGAACAGGGAAGGTGAGCAAGCCCAAGACACCTGATGGTCACTGCCTGTGGGATGACGTCCCTCTCCTGCCCAGATTCTGCCCTGGTGCTGAGCAAGGGATCCCCAGTGTTCTGCTTTCCAGGTCTTCCCAGCCTCTCAGGATGTCAGAGGAAATAGTTTCTGAGTTGGGTCCAGCTTGACCCTTCTTGTGTATGGGGAAATAGAAACCAAGACCAGCCTTTTCCTCTCTCTGTGATGCCTGGGAAGGCATTGCCTGTGGTTCCCAACTCCACAGAGACAGGGGCTTGGCAGACCCTGCTGGGGTTCAGGTAGGGCTTCTGACTGACTTAGAATGGGTGTCTTTCCCCACACACCAGGCCAACATTCAATAGACAAGAGATAAAAGGTCAACAGTCAGTGGTTTTGAGATCCTATGTGTCCAGTTCTTCCCTGCATAGTTTTACACACACACACACACACACACACACACACACACACACACACACACACACACACACACACACACTATCAAGAGTTGGATGAAGGTCGCCTTTTTCCTCTCTACCCTGCAGATCTACTTCCACAGGTCTATTTCCCACTGAGTGGACAGCAGTGCAGAGCCATGACACAGGCTCCTCCTTGACCAACAGGGCCACTGCTGGTCCCTGTCAGAGTGACTTCTTTGATACTGGACTTGCAGGGTTCTCAGTCACTGCCCATGGGCCTATGGGAGGATGGTTCAAAGATTTGGGGGAGAGATAAGGGAATGAGATACAGAAACTAAGTATGAAAACAAGAAACACCACATGGTATGCATGGGACAAGGTATCCACAAATTTGTAATTGACAACACTTGAGAGTGTCTGTGATACTGGCCGATCACTGTCCTCAGGATTGTAAGCTCCCTGAGGCAGGGGCAGGGGAGAGGGGATTAGACTCTGCCAGGCTACCCTGACTTTGGAGGGGTGTCTTGGCTAGTAAGTGGCACTATTGGCTCTAATCCTGGTTCCCCCCTCAGTGGGATGGGGATACTACCCTGAAGGATGCCAAACTTTCCCCCGGAGGCTTTCCTTCTCATCCTATGGCCAATGAGCAGCAGGAAGCCCTAAAACAGTATTTGTTTGGGGTTTTGAAGACAGGATCTCACTTTGTAGTCCAGTTAGCCCCAAACTTACTATGTAGTCCAAGTTGGTCCCAAGCTTGATGATCTTCCTGCCTCAGCCTCCTGAATGCTGGGACTACAGACATGTGTTATCATGTGTCTTAGCTACTTTTCTATTACTGTGATAAGACACCATGGCCAAAACAACTTATAAAAGAAAACATTTCATTTGGGGCTCATGGTTATAGAGGGTTAGAGTCCATGGCCATCGTGGTAGGGAGCATAGCAACAGACAGGCAGGCATGGTACTGGAGCAGTACCCGAGAGCTTACACATTGATCCACAAGTAAAAGGCAGGGAGAGAGAGCTAATTAGGAATGGCATGGGCTTTTGGAACCTCCAAGCCCACTGCCAGTGACACAACAAGACCACACCTCCTTCCTTCCCAAACAGTTTTACCAACTGGAAACCAAACATTCAAATAAAAAAACCTATGGGGACTGTTCTTATTCAAACCACTGCACCATGCCAGACCCAAAGCATTGCTTATTCTCCTGGAGGAAGTGTTACAGGTCTCATTTAAAGCAGTACTTTGGGGCCAGTCTTCTCTGTTTCTTTTAAATTAATTCTGAGAACCTGGAGATATTGAACCTGATTGCTAATGAAGGCTTTATCATTGGTTCTCAATATGTGGGTAGCAAACCCTTTGATGAACCTCTATCTCTGAAAATATTTATGATTCATAATAGCAGCAAAATTACAGTTATGAAGTAGTACCAAAAGTAATGTCATGGTTTGGGGCACCATGACATGAGGAACCGTATTAAAGGGTCGAAGCATTAGGAAAGTTGAGAACCACCGGCTTAGATGAAGGTGGATCCCGCTCCGTATTCTCTGACAGCTCTTCTGATACCAAGCTGTGTTTTCCTGCCATCAGCCCCTTTCCAACACCAGGGGGCACCCATCATTTGATTGCTCTGATGTTAACTTAAGGCGGCTTCTGTTATTGTTTTATTAATAAAAAATGGTCGTGAGTCAGATATTAGGGTAAAACCTGATAGAGCCACAGAGCGGTGGAGAAAACAGAGACCTCTGTTCTCCATGCTTCTCCACCTGAAAGGGCTGGTGCATCTTCTTCGACCCCTCCTTATTCCTCTTGTGTGTCTCTCTCCTTTGAGTTCACGAGGAAACTCCATGGTCCACTCCTGAATGTGGACCCCGCTCTCCAAATCAAGGCCAGACTCCCAACTCCACTGGCCATCTCCAAGCAACAACACAAACAAATCTCCCTTAACTCTAACTCCCCAAGACAGCAGAGACCTCAGTCTGAGAGCTCTATCCCACAGGACTGCCTCCACTTCAGAAACCGGTGACTGTTAGGTTGCCAAGGGACCCACTCTTCTTCTGCCTATCTTTATAGCCAATGTCACAACATTCTCTCAGTTTTGATGGTTCCCTAGAACAAGCCATAGAGCTGTATAAACACTAAGTAGACTATTAGAGTTTATTGGAAGGGATAGCCTGAGCAAATGGAAAGACATGGGACAAGGTTTAGCAGGTCCTGAGCAAAGAACTTCTATGTCTGAGGAGTCAGGTTGGGATTGATCCCTCTTGGATTTTCTTGTTCAAATTTTTTGTTTGTTTGTTTGAGACAGGGTCTCATGTGTTCCAGGCTGGCCTCAAACTCTCTCTGCAGCTCAGGATGACTTTGAACTTCTGGTCCTTTCCTGTCGCAGTCTCCTGAGATGGACGGTCAATGGCATGTACCCCTACAGCTTCTCTAAAGGCTGCTTGGGATGGAAGCCAGGGCCTCATGAGTGCCAGGCAAGCTCTTCACCGACTGAGCCACAGCCTGAGCCCTACTGTGTATTAGGTATCAGTGTTCTTGTGACCCCCCTTGATTGAAGTGCCTCTCACAGGGATGGCTGAGAGTAGGGGAGGAGGGATGGAGGCTTCTAATCACATATGGTCTTTCTGGGACCAGTGGCTATCTTGAGAGAGCCCAAATCATCGCACCAACATGAACACAGGTGTGCTCAGAGGAAGTTCATTATGAATAACCAGGGGCGCTCCTGTCACTCAGGAGTCAGGGTTGCAGAAACTCTGGACCAGGATCCAGTCAAAGACAAATACAAAGCACCTCAGGTCCTTTCCTGTGACCTGTCTGCAACGTTCCAGAGTTCTGAATGGGCAGTTACTCACCCTTTGCCCATCCCCCAATCCTCACACACTGTTCTTGTTTGTTTGTTTTTGACACAGGGTCTAACTATGTGGCCCTGGCTGCCCTAGAACTCACTTATGTAGACCAGGATGACCTCAAACTCATAGAGATCCTCCTGCCTCTGCCTCCCAAGTGTTACCTCAAGCCTCGTGGAAATCAGAGGTCAATATTGTGTGTCTTCCCTATTCTCTTTCCACCCTTATTGAAAAAGAATTTCTTGCTGAACCCTGTGCTCACTGATTCAACTAGGCAGGCTGACTAGAAAATTCTAAGGATCTTCCTGCCTCTACCTCCCCAGCACTGTAACTATAGGCACGTGCTGCCGTGCCCAGTTTTTGACGAGGGTGCTGGGGATCCAAACGCTGGTCTTCATGCTTGTGTGGCAGGCGCTTTACTGACTGAGCCACTCCTCAGTCCCGCAAGGATGCTTCCCCTATAAGGTTGGTGCCCCCCTTTCTGGTGCCTGTCTCAGACCCCACTGAAGTGGACTGAGGAGTACGTGGCTCAGAGGGTGGTGTGTAGGGCGCTGAGGGGGGAGGGGCAGAGAGGAAGAGGGCTGTTGGGCTCTTGGCCTCTGGTACTCCCAGAGGAGGAGCCAGTGGTGACACTGGGTTTCTGCAGAGTCAGAAGGGAGGAGGCAGGGTTGGGGAGTGGTCATAACCTCCTCAGGAGGACATAAATCAGTTGTCTCAGCTCCCACTGCTGCTGGCTCACAGGACGGACCTTTGGGGACCAGTGGCGGGAGCAGGACAAGAGGATGAAGGAGGTGGCGTTGGACAGAGATGTGGCCACATTCTGCAAAGGCAACCAGTGTGTCTTCCTACAGCCCCGAGGTGAGGACACTTAGGGTTCTTTCCTCTACCCTGCCCTCTGAGCCCATCCTTGTCAGTCCGGAGACTCATCTCATCCCCACCTTGGTCCCATAGTAAACAGGTCAGGGTGCAATAAATGGGTCAGCAGACGCGCAGAACTCTGAGAGCCCCAGCCTCTATATGGAACCTTCAGGAGACCCTCCACTGGGTACAGTAACCCAAGAGTGCATTTTGAGTTCAGATGGGCCAGGTTTTGAACCCCAACTTTGCATACTGCCTACCCCTATGTCCTCTGGGACTGGTGGTTTCTAAGGTCATTAGTGGTGCACCCTTGGCCCTTAATCACAGTCTCTAGAAGGCAAGGACACCTGTGACAACAGTTCAAGCTCTGTGAAAGGCTCCAGGAATGCAACTGTCCACCCCAGGGGAAGACCGGGATCTGGAGGTCTGGGCCCCTGCTGTGTGCATCCATTTCATCTCCCTCCCTCCTCCACTTTCTTCTTTCTTTCTGATCACACTTCTGCAGCCATGCCCTCTGGGGCAGGTGTTGTGTCTAGGGCGCCACTGCAGCCTCTGTGGGGTGTGAGCCCTGATCACGGACTGCTGACTTGTCCACTGCAGCCTCTGTGGGGTGTGAGCCCCTGATCATGGACTGCTGTCTTGTCTGTGGGGTGTGAGCCCCTGATGACTGACTGCTGTCTTGTCTGTGGGGTGTGAGCCCCTGATGGCTGACTGCTGTCTTGTCCACTGCAGCCTCTGTGGGGTGTGAGCCCTGATCACGGACTGCTGTCTTGTCCACTGCAGCCTCTGTGGGGTGTGAGCCCCTGATCACGGACTGCTGTCTTGTCCACTGCAGCCTCTGTGGGGTGTGAGCCCTGATCGCTGGCCGTTGCCTTGATCCCAGAGAACGTTCCTTTTCCTGCTGATAGCTCCCCTGTGAGAAGCACGGTGGCTGTTCTCATCTCTCATGGACAAGCCAGGGGACTGTGTCAGAGACCAAGAGTCTTAGCCCTCCCAGCATCCCACCCCCTGCCACCAGGCCTTGGCTTCTCCCCTACAGGGCTGGACCCTATACCAGCTGCTCCCAGGATGCTGAGGCATGTCCAGGCCATCTTGACATTCACGGCTGTGTTCCTCTCTCTCCTGGCTCTTCTTGTGGTGGGTAAGTTCTCAGGTGACCTGAGCCACCACCGAGTCTCTGTGCAAAGTCCCAAGGGAGCCAATATGTCCTCTGGACATTTATTCTCTCCGAAGCAACAATTTACCACCAGTCTAGGCCCAGACCTGGAGCCCCCTGTGCTGTGAGATGGCTCACGAGAATGGAGGCTTTCCAGAGAGACTGTGTGGGGGTGGTCCTTGTGCCCTTCCCTTTGTCTGGGCCCTAGTTGGTGTGGGTTAGCCTGTGGTGTCAAGGCTACGATTGAGCTGACCCAGGAATGACTGCTTTACAGCTTTACAGACTTGGAGACCCACGCAGAATGAAGATCACTTGCCTCTGGATAGCCTTAACGGACAGGAGGACAGTGAGTAGTCACAGTGAGGACAGAGCTGGGAAGCCGGGCACTGGGGAGCCGGGCCCTGGGAGCTGGGCATTGGGAGCCAGGCCCTGGGGATCCAGGCTCTGGGGATCTGGGCACTGGGAGCCGGACCCTGGGGAGCCGGACACTGGGAGCCAGGCCCTTGGGAGCCGGGCACTGGGGAACTGGGCACTGGGTTCAACTTCTATTGCCACATCCTAATTACCCCTCCCAATCCCCCCCTTAAAAGAAAATCTTTTAAACTTATTTTTTTGATACAGGCCTAAAAACAAGGTGGATGGAGTGCTAACTGGCTGCTGCACACACATGCAGTCCAGGTTGGCTTCAAATAAAAAAGCTAAGGATTTGGGGAAATTGCAGGGGTCAACACACCCCAAGTGCAATGGGGTGAGCCTTGCCCTGGGAAAACCACCTGCTTGATCATAGTGTCTCCCCTGATAGGCTGGGCGGTGGTAGCACATGCCAATCCCAGCACTTGGGAGGCAGAGCCAGGCGGATCACAGAGTGAGATCCAGGACAGACACCAAAACTACACAGAGAAACTCTGTCTTGAAAAAAAACCAAAAAAAAAAAAAAACCCCAAAAAACCATCAACAACAAAATGCTAGGAATGAACATGAACTTCCGATCCTTCTGCCTCTAGCTCTCTAGTGCTACAGGTGTGTGTTACCACGCCAGATTAAGTGGTGCTGGGGACTGAACCCATAACCCTGTGCAAACTAAGCAACTATTCTATCAAATGAGAGATGTCTCCAAGCCCCAATTGCTCTGTTTTAAGCACAGCTTTATTGAGGTATAATAGGTGTAAATGTTGGGCACATATTTAAAACCTACAATCTGATAAATCCTGATGAAGGTTCCTAAAACCATCTCTATGGTGAAGATGAGGAGCCAATTCACCATCTCCATCCCCCCCACCCCCCCACCCCCGATTTTACTTGCAGCCTTGATGATCCCTCCCATTCCCTCCTGACTTCAACCTCAGGCAGCCGCTGCTTGTGATGACTAAAGAGCAGTTTTGTTATAGAGTTTCATACAAAAAGGGATAAAAAAAAATCATGTTTTTCTTTTTAGTCCTTTTTCAGTTATATGATCTGAGAAAAATATTCTGGGTAGTGCTGGGAACTGAACCCAGGCAGAGTTTCAGTTTTTCCTACTCCTTCACGTGTGTGCAGCAGCCAGTTAGCACTCCATCCACCTTGTTTTTAGGCCTGCATCTTTGGGTGGTCCATCCCTGGAGTCTAGGAAGCTGCAGGGACCAGTGGACTGCCCTGGGATCACCAAGCACTGCGTGTGGAGGTTTCTCTAATGTATCACACTGCTGCAACAAACGTATTACAAAAGCCGCTTCAGGAAGAGTTTGTCATGGCTCACAGTTTGAAGGCACGGTTCTCCATGGCAGGAAGGCACGGAAGCAAGAGTTAGAGGTAGTCAATCAATCACGTTTGCACCAGGAAGCCAAGAGTTATGGCGCTGGTGCTCAGCTCTTGCTCTTTTTTCTTCAGTCTAGGACCCCAGCCAATGGGATGGTACAGCCACATTCCACCCCCAGCTCATGGGATGGTACAGCCCACATTCCACCCCTCCACCCCCAGCCCAAGGGTCGGGTCCTTCCATCTCAGTCAAACCTCTCTGGAAACTGTCTTATAGACATACCTAGAGGTTTGTCTTCTGGATGATTCTAGATCCTTCCAAGTTGATAGTATTAACAATCATAACCTGGAACATTCTGATTTGCCATCTGAACTTCCGTACATAATGGGCTTCTGTGGGCACCTCCTGTTTCCTCTTTTCAGATCATCAACAGCTTGGCAGGATGGCAGAAAAGCAAGAGGCTACCCAGGGCTTCTGGGGCTATGTGGGGAGTTCTAGCACTTGGCAGGAGGAGCTACAGATGCTGAAGTACCAAATGGACAATGTTAGTTCTCAGGTCCAGTTGCTCGGGAACCATCTGGAGAATGCCAGTGCTGACATTCAGCAGACAAAAGGTGTGCTAAAGGACTCTGGTTCCTTGGCTTTGGAGACCCAGGCACTGAGAAGCTCCTTGGAGTCGGCCAGTGCTGATATCCATAATCTGAGAGGAGATTTGGAAAAGACAAACGCTATGACTTCCCAGACCCAAGGTCTCTTAAAGAGCAGCACAGAACACACCAGTGCTGAACTCCTCATGCTGGACAAAGGCCTGAAGAAAGCCCAGACTGAGATCCAGGCATTGAGGGGAAGTCTGCAGAGTTCAAATGACCTCAGCTCCCAGACCCAGAGCTTTCTCCAGCACAGTGTGGACAACACTAGCGCTGAGATCCAGGCCGTGAGAGATCACCTGGAAAGGGCTGCTGATGAAATGAGCTCATTAAAGAAAGATCTGGAAACAGTCACTGCTCAGGCTCAAAAGGCAAACGGCCACCTGGAGAAGACAGATACCCAGATCCAGGTGTTAAAAGCTGAGCTGAAAAGCACCAGTTCCTTAAACTCCCATATCGAGGCAGTCAGTGGTCAACTGAAAGACACCAGCAGAGAGTTACAGACCCTGAGAGGGGACCTGGGGGACGTTGCAGCGCTGAAGTCCAAGATCCAGGTGCTACAGAGCAATCTGCAGAAGGCCAAGGCAGAGATGCAGAGTTTGAAAACCGATCTGGAGGCTACCAAAACTCTCACTGCTAAGATTCAGGAAGAACAGAGTCGCCTGAGGGCCCTGCAGGAAGCTGTGGCTTCACAGGAGCAGGTGCAGAGGAATCAGAGTAAGTGAGAGGGGTGTGTGTGTGTGTGTGTGTGTGTGTGTGTGTGTGTGTGTGTGTGTGTGTGTGTGAATCTGGGGAGGGACAGCCTCTGGGGAGGATGCTGGCCTCTGACCCTTTAGCCTCTTTGCTTACCTAAACATCTGGAGAGGAAGATCAGGGCTTTAGGAAAAGCTAATCGTTGATTCTAGCAGCCATCCTTTGAACTTCTCTCCTCCTCGTCAGTGTGTGTAATGTAGGTGCACGTTACATAGGAGTGCACATGAGTATAGAGGTCAGATTGTCTTCCTCAGTCTCTCCTCACTCAATTTGTGTTATCATCTAGCTATTATATCTATCTATCTATCTATCTATCTATCTATCTATCTATCTATCTATCTATCTATCTATCTATCTATCTATCTATCCATCCATCCATCCATCCATCCATCCATCCATCCATCCATCCATCTTTGAGTCTTTATTCCTAAGGCTGTCTTTAAACTTGCTGTCTAACCACGGATGACCTTGAACTTCTTATCCTCCTGTTTTCACCTCCATGAGTTCTGGAACCACAGAAGTGCCCTACTGTGCCTGGGTTATGCAGTACTGTGGCCAGAGCTCAGTGCTTTCTGTACAATAGGCAAACACTCTACCTGCTGAGCTACATCCACAGCCCTCCCACCTTATTTTTGGAGACAATGTTTCTCATCAGTTCCATTAAGCTGACTGGCCAACGAGCTTAAGAGACCTGCCTGTTTCCACCTCCCAACACTGAGATTATAGGCACACCGCGCAGCACACTGGACTTCTATGTGGGTGCTGGGAGTTGAACGAGGTCCTCACACTTGTGCAGCCATCTCCCAAGTCCTTGACCTTTTTCTTTAAGGGAAAAGTAGAGAGTCTTTTAGGCTTCTGTGTTGGAGGGTCTCTGTCAGAACTGCTTCCTGCTGCCATATAGAGGAAGCAGCCACAGATACCACAGGGCTGTGCTCCAGTAAGACTTTCAGAGAAGAGGCTGCTAGGATGCAGTTTGCCCATCTCCGTTTCCACCTCAGAACTCAGACAATGCCAGAATCACCCACAGGGCAGGCAGAACCACGCACGCACGCATGGTATGTGTCAAAGGGCGTTTGGGAGTTGAGTAGAGAAGGAACGTGCGTCTCGGCCAGTTTCCAGACCGTGCTGGCTCAGCCAGGCTGGGATCACACGTTTCCCGCACTCCCCACCTTCCCCTGAGACCTCAGTTCTTGTGTTGTCCTTGATGTCTCTGACTGATTAAAAGCGTCTTCCTCCTGGATGGGCCAGCTGGCCCAGCAGGTGAAGTGCTTGTCACCAAGACTGACAACCTGAGTTTGCTCCTCGGAACCCACATGGTGGGAAGGGAGGACTGCTTCCCGCAAGCTGTCCTCTGGCTTCCACATGTGTGCTGTGTCACGTGCGTATGACGCCCTTCTAATAAGTAAATTAAAAAATGTAAGCTGTGCCTCCATCCTGTTCTGTCTTCTCCAGTTCGAACATTCTTACAGAGAACGTGGGTGTGTGCTGGGGTCTGTGGGTGGAGATGAAGTCAGGAAGTGAAAGAGGTTACCAGTTGCAGGATCGGAAGTGGACTGAAATGGCTGGTGACAGTTACGAGTGGGAGAGTGTTGTATACCAGAAAGCAGGTATCTGCAGAGAGTGCTGATAGGTGACAAAGCTGAGACCCCCCAGGAGTGACAGAGACACCTAGGTGTCTTGGAAAACTGCTTCTAGGATGGGGCCATGGGACTGAGGTGTGATGTCCCAGCCCTGCTCCAGGAGCGCTGAGCATTGGGAATTGGCAGGGCTTGTGGGCATCCAAGGTCAGACCTGGTACAATGGAGGCTGGCTTTGGGACATCCCTGTCTGCTTCTGACTCTTCCTCCCGAACTTTGTTCTAGATCAGCTTCTCCAGCTGATCCTGCAGGGCTGGAAGGTCTTCCGTGGAAGCTTGTATTACTTTTCTCACGAGGAGAAGTCGTGGCATGAGGCTGAGAAGTTCTGTGTGTCCCAGGGAGCGCACCTGGCATCAGTGACCTCTCAGGAAGAACAGGTCAGAGCTGCGGGCCTGGGGCAAGCTGAGGAGTGGTGTATGGTCAGGGACACACAAACTTAGCCTTTTGTCCCCCTGATGGGTGGTGGAGCTCCTCATGTCCCCATTAGGCAAGGAACACGTATTTGCTGAGTCCCCAAGAGAACTCTGTACTGAGGCGGAAGCACAGCCAGCTGCTGCCACCTGCTCAGGGAGGGAGGAAGACCTTCCAGCAGATACCAACAAGAAGGGAAGGAAAAGACACCTGTCCCACTCTTCAGTCTAGGAGATGCGACTCTCTTTCTCTCAGCTCCTGCCAGCCTTCCTTTCTGGGCATCGGTCTGGATCAAAATGTTCAGTCGAAGGCTGCTGAAAAGGAGACGTAGGCCCTCTGGGAGCTTGCTTGACTCACTCCTAAAGGAGGAGGACCCTCTAAGGAAATGCTGTCCTTAGAGGGCCTTCGTTTCAGGGCCTGGAAGGAACTCACTAGCCAACAGGGGACTATGCAAGGTTCAGGTTGGTTCAACTTGCAGAACTGTCCGTTCCTTGCCATTCTCCCAGGACTTGTTACTGCTCAGCTAAGAAGAAAGTAGGATGAAAACTTCTGTCCCAGCAAAGCCACACCCCTTAAGACAGTCAATATGGGGGAAGCTGCTCCAGATATTGGATAAGCCATGGAAGGTTCTGGAAGCTCCTGCATTGAGAAGGGCTTCCTGCTCGGGGGTCAGGGAAGGGATGGTTCTGAGAGTCAGTTCCTCACAGTCCTGCCTCCTTTGCACAGACATTCCTGGTAAAGTCCACAAGTACTGTGTACCATTGGATCGGGCTCACTGACCAGGGCACGGAAGGCAACTGGCGCTGGGTAGATGGGACACCATTCAATCATGCCCAGAGCGAGGGGTGAGTCTAACCTCTGTTTAGCACTGTCTGGGCATTGTCTTGGGCAGGCTTTACTGTCCTATGTGTATGATCCTGTCCAGTGTTAGGTGTGTGTGTGTGTGTGTGTGTGTGTGTGTGTGACATATAGAGTGTATATGTGATGTGTGCATGGAGTGTATATGTGTGTTCATATATGTGGTGTGATGTGATGAGTGTGACATGTATGATGTGCATTGTAGTGTGTGATAGGACATGTAGTATGTGGACCTATGAGGCCAGAAGAACAGCATCAGGAAAGGACAGGCCCTGGGGCCGGCAGGCCAGTTGTGGTCTTGTTTTTCTGATTTCATCTGTCCATCTGTTTCCTGCCTACTTGGCCTGGGCCCTTCGATGGAGAGCCTCCGAGTGTGATTTCTGTGGAGGATGCCCCTGCAGACCCCGGATGATCTGTAACAGAGCGAGGGCAGCCTCAGCAGGGCCACTCTGGGGGCTCCTCCGGCCCCAGTCCTGCCCCCATCCTGAGGTCTCTCTTTATGCACGGGAAAGGAATCCTGCTTTCTCCAGCAGAGTAAAGCCATGTTGCTTCCAGGTTTTGGGGAAAAAATCAGCCCGACAACTGGAGACACACGAATGGAGAGTTTGAAGACTGTGTCCACACACAGCAACTGTGGAATGACATGATCTGTGGGGCCACCTACCCCTGGGTGTGCAAGAAGTCCATTGGTCAGGCTGCGGCCTGAATGGGCCCGAGCTGAGTCCCAGAGCCTTGGACTCGCCGCGGGGCTTCTTGTGTCCGGCGCTGCCCCTTGTTTAACCATTTCGTGCTTGCCTCTGGTGGCCCCTCCAGCGAGATGGCTTCTTAAAGAAAAGCCTGCATGCTTGTGCCCCCTTGGCACCCCGACATCCCTGCCCTGTCAGGTCTTCAATAAACACTCACTGAATGGAAGAAACTTGGTACTCGTTTGTCCTGTGACTGCCTTCATCCTCGCGTCTCCCTGGACCGGCTCTCCTTCCCGTCAGGGTCTTTCTGTTCTTCCAGGCACACTTTCCACAGGTTTTGCAGTGCTTGTGCAGATGGCAATAGGGGTTCTCCCAGAACTGCAGGGCCTTCTTAAGTCACCCCAGGTGTTACGTGGGTTTCTTTTGGGTGCAGATGGGGTCCTGTTTCTCTCCCTTGTCCCCTGGAGGTGGTTGGGGTCTCTGCTCCACCCTCTCGCTCATCTCGCTAATCTTTACAGGGACTCTATGTTCTGCTCACCTTAGGATGAGAACCTCAGTAGCTCTCTGTTGGTGTCTGTGGAACACAAGGAATCCCATGCAGGTTTCTGGATCTCTGTCTGTCTGTCTGTCTGTCTCTCCTCTGGCTACTTCATACTCTGCCCACATGTTGCAATGAGCTCTCTCTTTCCTCAACGTGGATAGAATGCCAGACCTTGGTTAATACTCTTTTCCCTGCTCTGTGGAAGAACTTTCAGAAGGAAAGCCATGGGGGCCACAGGTTCCCCATCTGCTTCCAAGCTCCCTAACTTGGCCCAAAGTTTTAGTCTGCCTGTTGTCCAGTATCTGGAAATAGTGGTTTCCTGTATGTTAGTATGATGGTTTTTTTAGTTGTTACGGCAAAAGGGCTCCTCCAGCTATGTCCAGAACTGGAAATCTGGGGTCTGGAGGGATGGCTCTGTGGTTAAGAGTGAGTACTGCTCTTGTAGAGGACACTAGTTCAGTCCCCAGAACTCCTGTCAGCAAGCTAACAACTGCCTGCAGCTTCAACTCCAGAGAGTCCACGCCCTCTTTTGGCCTCCGTGGGCACTGCACTCATGTGCACATACCCCTACACAGATGCACGCACATACACATAATTAAAAACAAAGTAAATATTATAAGAGAAGTGGAATTTGTTAAGTCTGTTATTATTTTTTGGCTGAACAGAACTTTATCTTGTTCATACTCACTTTTAACATCTTTTTAGTTTATTTCTTCTTCCTCCTCATCTTCTTCCTCCTTCTTCTTTGTGTGAGTGTGTGTGTGTGTGTGTGTGTGTGTGTGTGTGTGTGTGTGTGTGTAGCCATAGGAGCCAAGTGGCTCCATGTTTTATTTTATTTTATTATTATTAAGAATTCATACAATATATTCTGATCATAGTTCCCTTCCCTCATTTCCTCCAGATTGTCCCCATTTTTCCATCTACCCAACTCCATGCCTCCTTTCCCTCTCTCTTTAGAAAACAACCAGGCAAGTAAAAACAAGAAAACAGATTTAAAAAACAATTAACAAGCACAAGAAACACACACACACACACACACACACACAACACACACACACACACACGAGAGAGAGAGAGAGAGAGAGAGAGAGAGAGAGAGAGAGAGAGAGAGAGTGCAAAACCCATAAAAATACAAAATTGGAAACTATAATATATAAGCAAAAACCAGTAAGGTAAAAAATGCCCAAACAAAACATGAGACAAAAAAAATAAAACACAAAAAAACACAAAACAGCAACAACAACAAAACTACAAAACGCCATTGAGTTCATGTTTGTTGGCCACCTATGACATGCAGCCTACCCTTAAGTGTAGTTTGTATACGCAGTGAGACTCCATTGGAGAAAATTGATTTTTCCTTTGTGAGCGTTGTCAGTTGGAGACAGCTTCTCGGTTCGGCATGGCAGCCCGTGTCACTTCCCTCTCTCAGTGCTGGGACCCCATGTGGCTTGAACCTGTGCAGGTCCTGTGCGTGCTGCCCTGGCACAGTGTTCATTGTATGTCAGTCCTGTAGTGTCTGGGAGACAGTTTCCAGGGTGTGATCCATCCCCTCTGGCTCTTACAATCCGCCTGCCTTCTCTCCAAATTGTTCCCTGAGCTCCAAGGGGAGAGACTTGATGGAGCCATCCAATTTAGGACTGAATGTTCCAAGATCTCTCCACTCTCTGCATATTGTCCAATTGTGGGTGTCTGTATTAGTTCCCATCTATGTAGGAGGAGGCTTCTCTGATGATGTCTTAGTGAGGCACTGATCTATGAGTATATCAGAATGTCATTAGGAGTCATTTTATTGCTTTCTCTCTCTCTCTCTCTCTCTCTCTCTCTCTCTCTCTCTCTCTCTCTCTCTCTCTCTCTCTTAGCAGAACAATAGTATTTGGTTTTCCCTCAGGCCTATGTCCTATCTAGTATCAGTTTCTTGGTCACCTGAGCAGTGTCAGGCAAGGGTTTCATCTCATGGAGTGGGACTTAAATCCATTGAGAGACCAGTTGGTTACTCCTGCAATGTTCATACCATGTTGCCCCAATGTATCATTCAGGCTGGTCGCCACTGTAGAGCAAAAGGTTTGTAGCTGCGTTGGTGGTTACCTTTTTCCTCTGATAGCGTGCAGACTACCTTTTAGTACCATGAATACTAGTCAGTAGCAACAAAGACTCTAGTTAGGCACCAGCCTAACTTCTCTGGGTTCAAGGAGATATGTATTATCTTCATCAACAGGACTTTACCACCAGCTTGTAGAGTTCAACAAACAGCCTTGGCAATAGCCTGAGATGTTTGGGGGTTTCCTTTGGTCAATGACTGGAGTAGATGTGGCTCATTCCTGGCACTGGGAGGTCCACTTGGTGGGAAGATATCTAGGTGGGACATGGCCTCCCCTGTTATTTGGTGACTCCCTTTTTATGTATATATTTTAAGCAGCTCCTTCTGTGGTAGGTTCCCAGTGGCCCCTCTAATGGCCTTCAGTTTTTGCTGTCTCTCCCTGCATTGCCTCCTTTACTCGTCTCTTGGGTCCCCCTCTTTGTTTAATCATCTTGTTCCAGTCTCCCCCATCTCCCCCATAGCTGTATATTCTATTTCCGCTTCCTTGAGCAATCCTCCCCCTCCCATAGTTGCTTACTTTATACTTAAGCTCTGTGGTTATATGGGTTGTAGCACTCCGATTGAAGGCTAATATATAAGCCACATATAAGAGAATACATACCATATTGTCTCTTTGGGTCTGGGTTACCTCACTCCAGTTGAGTTTTTCTAGCTCCATCCATTTACCTGCAAATTCATGAGTTTTCAAAAACTTTCCATTGTGTAAATGTACCACATTTTCATGATTCACTCATCTATTGATGGACATCTATCTAGGCTGTTTCTGATTCCTGGCTATTATAAATAGGGCAGCAATGAGCACGGATGAACGAGTGTCTCTGTAGTGGAATGTTGAGTCCTTTGGCTATATGCCTAAGAGTGGTATAGTTTGAAGTTGAGGTAGATCTATTCTCAACTTCTCGAGGACTGCCACACTGGTTTCCATAGCGGCTATACCAGCAATGGATAAGTGTTCCTTTTTCCTCACATCCTTGCCAGCATGAGCTGTCATTTGTTTTATTGATCTTGGCCATTCTGACTGGTATAAGGTGAAATCTGAGAGTAGTTTTAAATTGATTTCCCTGATGACTAAGGATGTTGAAAATCCCTCTAAGTATTTCTCAGTCATTTGTGTCTCATCTTTTGAGAACTCTGTTTAATTCTGTACCCCATTTAAATGGGTTATTTGTTTTCCTGATTTTTTTTTAGTTCGCTGTATGTTTTATATATTAAGCCTTTATTGGATATGTAGTTGGTAAAGATCTCTTCCCATTCTGTAGCTCCCCATTTTTTCCTGAATGATGGTGTCCCTTGTTATATAGAAGCCTTTCATTTTCACGAGGTCTGCTTATTGATGTTCTTAGTGCCTGTCCTATCAGTGTCCTGTTCAGAGAGTCTTTTCCTGTGATAATGAGTTCAAGACTAGTCCCTGTTTTCTCTTCTGTTAGAGTAAGGGTATCTGGTCTTATGTTGAGGTCCTTGATCCATTTGGGTTTGAGTTTTATGCATGGTGATAACTATAGATCTGTTTCTATTTTGTGGAATAGTTTGAGGAGTATTGATTATTGTTAATTCTTTGAAAATCTGGTAGAATTCTTCCCTGAATCCATCTGGCCCTGGGCTTTTTTGCCGTTGTTGTTAGGAGACTTTTAATTACTGCTTCTATTTCACTAGGAGTCATGGGTCTGTTTAAATGGATTTAACTTTGGTAGGCCATATATATATATATATATATATATATATATATAAAGAAATTTGTCCATTTCTTTATTGCTTCTTAGTTTTCTATCAGTAGGACTACATTTCATTTAGCACTTTTCCAGTTAAGTGGTTTTCAGTCTTTCAAAGAGCCAGTCTCAAGTATCACATTCACGAGGCTGTTTCTGCACTTCTGATTTCATGCCAGTGGGCTCTTCTTATACTGGAATCACACTGTTCTAATTATTGTAGTTTTGTAATATGTTTTATTGTCTGGTAGGGAACATGACACTTAGAAGCTATTTGTGTGTTTATGTGAGGTGTGATATATCCAAAGTGTGTGCATGTATATGTATCCTAAGAGTATGTCAGGGTCCTCTTCTGTCACTCTTTGTTCCTCAAGACCAGGTTTCCCACTAAAGCTGGGACTTAGAAATCACTCCTAAGTAGGTTTCAGAACCTATCACAATTTTAATAAAGTTTTTATTATTTTGAGACATGATAGAAAGAGAAAATTACAGGGACCTTGGTAGTAGGGACAAAAGCCTCTCACCCAGGAGTCTGGCTGAAGCCTTTTTTTCAGGCTAGTTGAGAATCAAGAAATGGAACATAGTTATCATTTGCTTATGACCTTCCTTCCCTGTACACCTGCAGCTCTCTAGAAATCCCATGAAAATTCCCCTCGATAATGAAAGGACATATTTAATCCCCATGGTGGA